AATGTGCTCTATGTGGCGCTACCTTTGAAGGTGACCTGGAAACTGCAACTAATCCAGAATGCGGCAGCTAGACTGGTGACTGGGAGTGGCCGCCGAGACCACATAAAACCAGTCCTGAAAGACCTACATTGGCTCCCAGGACGTTTTCAAGCACAATTCAAAGTGTTGGTGCTGACCTTTCAAGCCCTAAATGGCCTCAAAGGCCCAGTATACCTGAAGGAGCGTCTCCACCCCCATCGTTCTGCCTGGACATTGAGGTCCAGCTCCAAGGGCCTTCTGGCGGTTCCCTCGTGAGAAGCAAAGCTACAGGGAACCAGGCAGAGGGCCTTCTCGGTGGTGGCACCCACCCTGTGGAACGCCCTCCCACCAGATGTCAAAGAGAAGAACAACTACCAAACTTTTAGAAGACATCTGAAGGCAGCCCTGTTTAGGGAAGCTTTTAATGTTTGATGTATTACTGTATTTTAATATTTGGCTGGAAGGCACCCAGAGTGGCTGGGGAAGCCCAGCCAGATGGGCGGGGTACAAATAATAAATGATGATGATGATGATGATGATGATGTAGCTAGTTCTGGGCACATGGCTTTCGAGGAACGGTCTCCCAGGGGGACTTAAACCACTCCACTCCCAGATTTAAAACAACCACTCTCTCTTTTTCTTTCCTCAGATCGGAGCTGGGACTTGCAGCTCACCCCTCCTGCGCGTCCCTCCAACCTCCCGGCCTCTCGCCAGGCAGCGAATCAGCAGCAGGAGCAAAGTCCTGCCTTCGTGGACCGGATCGGGGGCTGAGCTGGGGCTGCCAGGGGGGGCCACGCAAAGAGGCTGGGAGGTGAGTTCAGGTCCCGTTTTCGAAAGGCAACACATCGGTTTGCCTGGATTCTCTGTGATTCTGCAGCCGTGCAACACAGAATGGTAATTTGGCTGCCCCGAACGCAATGCCCCAGAAGTTCCATCACCCCATGGCATTGTGGGTAGAAAGCATGGGGGCTGCTTTGACAATTCTGTCGGCCATCTTGTGCTACGTGGCATGTTTCTTTTCCCACAATGCCTCGGGGGCTGGTGGTTGCCCAAAATAACACAGAGGGCAACGTTCTGGTCGCCTCATCTCAAAAAGGATATTATGGAGTTGGCAAAGGTTCAGAAAAGGGTGACCGAAACAAAAAAGGGAGTGGAACGGCTCCCTTATGAACAAACTTGTTATTTAACTTTTTAATGGTTTCATTGCATGGTTTTGTGGGATGTGAAACACAAGAGCAGGCAAGTACAACCTTCCTAGAGTATAAGCAAGTTCACAATTTAGCAGAGTAACATTCCCCTTTTTAAACTGACAGCGGATGCATTAGCTCAGGCTCGCTAAAGCCTCTATAATAACTGTTCTGGTATTTTCCCCTTATTCCCTCATAAAAGATAAGACACGACACAGTCTTCTATAAAAGTATAAAAAAGAATTTACTCACATTCTGTTCACAATCAGATGGCAGACTTTGCTTAGAAAAGTAACATACACCTGGAAACCATCTCATAAAGAGACAGTCCCTTTGTCCTTTCTTGGCTGTACTTGACTGCTCTTGTGTTTCACATCCCACACATCCCACACTCTCCCACAACTCGTGTTCAGAAGCATAGCTGCCTCCTCTATGAATATGTCTAATTCTCTTCTAAAGCTATCCAGGCCGGTGGCCGTCACTGCCTCCGGTGGCAATGAGTTCCATAGTTCAACTATGTGCTCCGCAAAGAATTCCTTTGTGCTACCTGTTCTGAATATTTCAGCATTCAGCTTCATTGCATCTCCTCTATAGGAGAGAGGGAGAGCCTAGATTTTTATAGGGGAAGATTTTCATCTTGCCTCCCAAAAATTGCTTTCCGTGACTTTTGCCTGCATTTCAGAGCGTCGCGGGATCTAAAGGCCTTTTCCTATTTTCTCTCCCTCCCCAGGTTGAATTTCCGGACTGCACATCACTCCTCCGCTCTCTCTCCCATCACAATGGTGCTGCCCATCACAATTTGAGGGGTGGGGACAGCAGCCCCTGCCCCGGACCCTCCTTCATGCCTCCCGCGGCGTGGGAGAGTTGCGCTCCACGCTTGCCAAGGTCTCACCCATGCGCTGTTTCTACTGGATTCTCACTCGTGGACCCCCGCTTTTCTTTTCTACGAAGCTCGCTCCCGTTTTTCTAAACCGTGTTCCGCAATTTTCTAATAAACAGAGTTGGAAACCAGCGACGGACGGGGTGGCACCGGGAAGCTCCCTAAAAAGGGGTGTCTGTCTGTGTCTGTGTGGCTTCTTTCCATAGCTGTCAACCGTCCCTTATTTGGCGGGAAAGTCCCTTATCCCAGCGCCGTGTCCCGCTGCTGTCCCTTATTGATGATGTCCCTTAAATTTCTCGGGTTTCAAAGGAAGCAGCTCCTCTCCCTCCCTCCCTGCCGGCCAGGGAGGCTCCAACTGTGTTGCTTGGCTGCGTTGCTCACCCAATAAGGAATCTAAGAACGACTGGGGGGTGGAGCTTGCATGCCTTGTGCCGATCAAATCAGCCGCCTTGCCTGGGGACTCGCCTTTGCTCAGCGCTTCCCAGCGGAGAGGTGACGGCGGTTTTCCTTGCTGCATCCCCTTTGCCGGGTTGCTGCGCTGTGGGAACCACCTCTTGAGACTTCGTTTGGCTGCTGGCTGGGCTTTCTGCCTTTGGCTCGGAGGGGCTCAGAAGTTGAACATACCTGTGCCCCTTGGAAAATCCCTTATTTTGGCTGCTGATCCCTTATTTTCGAGGCTGCTGGTCCCTTATTTTCAAATCTGTAAGTTGACAGCTATGCTTCTTTCCAGAACGAGTAAAGGATAACATGAACTGAACCGTTTCTTAATAATGACCCCCCCAAACTCCGTTGGCTCAAGCCTGGCAATAAAAGGAGAACCAAATCAGCAAAAAGTTTGCACTGCCCACAAAAATGGCATCCTCCGTCCCTGCCTCCTAAGTTTCCCAAACACTGCAGCCCTGTGCATGTGACTCAAATGGGGGCGGGTTCATTGCAGGAGGCCACACCCCCATTTGGCCGTGTGACAAAGCACGCTGTATACGTCTGTACAGTGGTACCTTGGTTCTCAAACTTAATCCGTTCCACAAGTCCGTTCCAAAGCCAAGGTGTGCTTTCCCATAGAAAGTAGTGCAAAACGGATTAATCCATTCCAGACTTTTAAAAACAACCCCCAAAACAGCAATCTAACATGAATTTTATTATCTAACGAGACCATCGATCCATAAAACGAAAGCAATAATCAATGTACTGTACTATAAAATAAATAAGGTAGTATTGTAGATGATAAAAATTAAAAATAATTCTTTTTCTTACCTGCACTGATGATAGTCGTTGTTTGGATGGGGGGCTTTTTTATCCATTTCCACAATCGCAGATTCAGTCAATTAGTAGTTCAACTGGGTTCCACACAGTCACAAAAACAAATGAACAGAAAAAGCGTCTAAAACAAAAATGCAAAATAGATAGCAAAAACAAAAGCGCCAAACTTAATAATAATAATAATAATTTATTATTTATACCCCACCCATCTGGCTGGGGTTTCCCAGCCAGTCTGGGCGGCTTCCAACCAAATATCAAAAACAATACAGTATCAGACATTAAAGACTTCCCTAAATAGAGCCGCCTTCAGGTGTCTTTTAAAAGTAAAATAGTTGTTTATTGCCTTGACATCTGCTGGGAGGGCATTCCACAGGGTGGGTGCCACTACCGAGAAGGCCCTCTGCCTGGTTCCCTGTAACCTCACTTCTTGCAGGGAGGGAACTGCCAGAAGGCCCTCGGCGCTAGATCTCAGTGTCCAGGCAGAATGATGAGGGTGGAGACACTCCTTCAGGGATACAGGACCGAGGCCATTTAGGGCTTTCAAGGTTAGCACCAAGACTTTGAATTGTGCTTGGAAACGTCCTGGGAGCCAATGTACCATATTTTTCGCTCCATAGGGCACACCAGACCATAGGGCGCACCTAGTTTTTAGGGGGGGGGGATAAAGAAAAAAAAATATTTCCCCCACAGCCCCAAAGACCAAAGAAACCAAGACAGCCAGCAGAATCCATCCCGCTGGCTGTCTTGGCTTCCTCTTTAGCCACGCACAACCTATCCAGCTCTCCAGGCTGCGCGCGGCTTCGTTTTTAGCCGCGGGGCTGGGGCGGGGGAAGCCGGGAGGTCCGGGAGTGGAGGCAAGGTTGCACAGCCTTTCCATCACTCCCGGAGCTTGCGGGCTGGGGGAGCGCTCCGAAGGTCTGCGGATAGCTGCCTGAAGCCTGGAGAGCGAGAGGGCTCAGCGAAAGCCTGCATTCACTCCATAGGATGCACACACATTTCCCCTTCATTTTTGGAGGGGAAAAGTGCGTCCTATGGAGCGAAAAATACGGTAGGTCTTTCAGGACCGGTGTTATGTGGTCTCGGCGGCCACTCCCAGTCACCAGTCTAGCTGCCGCATTTTGGATTAGTTGTAGTTACCGAGTCACCTTCAAAGGTAGCCCCACGTAGAGCCCATTGCAATAGTCCAAGCGGGAGATAACTAGTGATAACTAGATAACTTCCGTTCCGGAAGTCCGTTTAACTTCCTAAATGTTCAGAAACCAAGGCAAGGCTTCTGATTGGTGCAGGCGCCCCGGAAACAATAGCCAGCTTCCGAAAAAGTTGTTTGGCTTCCGAAAAAGTTCGGAAAACCAGAACACTGACTTCAGCTTTTGGGAACCAAGGCGTTTGAGACCCAAGGTACCACTGTCAACCTCATAAAGTGTCTCTTAACCCCTTAGTCACTCCCCTACAATGCCTTTCTCCACATTCCTCAGGTGACTTTAAGAGAAGAATGGAAAAATTCATGGAGGAGAGGGCTATCGTTGGCTACTACTAGCCACAATGGCTACGTTTTGCCTAGAAGGCAGCAGTGCTTCTCAACTCTACAGAATCACAGATTTGTAGAGTTGGAAAGGGGCCACGAGAATCATCTCGTCCTGCAATGCAGCAATCTTTTCCCCAACCTGAGACTCAAACCCAGGACCCTGAGATTGAGAGTCTCATGCTCTACCAACCGAATGCCAGTTGCTGGAAGCTGCAGGCATGGAGTCTTGCGTTCGAATTCTGCTTGCTGGTTTCCCACAGGTCTCTGGTTAGCCAGTGTGCAAAGAGAACGCTGGACTAGATGGGGCCTTGGAATGAGCCCATCCTCTCCAACATTCCTCGGGTGAAAATAAGAGAGTTCCTATTGCAGCCTCTCTGAGATTTCTCGGACAAAAAATAGGGATGTCCCTCTGAAAGGGCAAGAGAGACAGTCTGGGGTCAAATCAGAAACCGGGATGGCTTCTGTAATTCCGGGGACTGTCCCAGGGAAATCGGGACACTTGGGAGGATCTGTGATCCTGAAGGACTCTTCTGGCAACAACAGTGTAGCGTTCCCAAAACAAGGAAGGATTGGACTCTGATTAATAGAATACACATGAGGCTTGAGCAGCAAGACTCTGGGAGGAGGTGCCAATAATAATAATAATAATAATAATAATAATAATAATAATAATTTATTGTTTATATCCTGCCAATCTGGTTGGGTTTCCCCAGCCACTCTGGGCGGCTCCCAACAAAACACTAAAATACAGTAATGCATCAAACATTAAAAGCTTCCCTAAAGAGGGCTGCCTTCTGATGTCTTCTAAAAGTCTGATAGTTGTTCTTCTCTTTGACATCTGGTGGGAGGGCGTTCCACAGGGCGGGTGCCACCACCGAGAAGGCCCTCTGCCTGGTTCCCTGTAACTTGGCTTCTCACAGGGAGGGAACCGCCAGAAGGCCCTCAGCTCTGGACCTCAGTGTCTGGGCTGAACGATGGGGGTGGAGACGCTCCTTCAGATATACTGGACCGAGGCCGTTTAGGGCTTTAAAGGTCAGCGCCAACACTTTGAATAATTTCTCTCTACCCCTTGGCCCAGGTCATTTTATTCACAAAAGAACTTTTTACACAGTGTTCTTAAGAACCAATCAGATTTCCTCTGAGCATTTCAAAAACCTCACGTGGGACAAAGTCAGATCAGAAGAAATTATTTTAACTACAAAGAAGCTATTTCCTACTTGAGCATGCATATGTAATTCAGAGTAAATAAAAGAGGAAGCAAGGAAGAATGCTTTTAGGAAACTCCAGAGGTCACAAACAGCAATAAACAGGAGAGGAAGGATGGGTAGTATTTACCATCTCTTTGTGAACTCTCTTCCTGGCCCTAAGATTAAGAAAGCTAACAATAGCTACATCAAAGCTAACTATCATATTTATGATCCAGGATGCCTGATGAAGCAACTGGCCTGTGTTTAGAATGCTTATACATGCCTGTCAGGCAAAGAAATAGGACAGAGATGCAGAGGCGTGGGTTGATCAGAAATCATATCAAAATGGCTCAAACCTAGTCAACGCAATGCTTTCATTGCTGACACAAATGGCCTGCTCAATATTTTTTATAATTCCTCATAGCAATCCCACCTGATCACTACAAACAGGGTACTGGGATGGGCGGAGGGAAACTTAGCCTAATCCAGCTGCCTCTTCTCTTTGGAGAAAAATGGGAGATGTAGGAAGGGGGGAACTAGGTAAACATGTTTTCCCCAAGTGGAGACAAACCCTGCTGGCAATCACGTCTCCCCAAGATTACTGGAAGCAGAGAGAATTACGCAGTGGGAGGAAAGAGAAGTAGAATAAATTGTTGTTGTTGTTGTTTAGTCGTGTCAGCCTCTTCGTGACCCCCTGGACCAGAGCATGCCAGGCACTCCTGTCTTCCACTGCCTCCTGCAGTTGGGTCAAACTCATGCTGGTAGCATGGAGAACACTGTCCCACCATCTCGTCCTCTGTCGTCCCCTTCTCCTTGTGCCCTCCATCTTTCCCAACCTCAGGGTCTTTTCCAGGGAGTCTTCTCTTCTCATGAGGTGGCCAAAGTCTTGGAGCCTCAGCTTCAGGATCTGTCCTTCCAGTGAGCACTCAGGGTTGATTTCCTTCAGAATGGAGAGGTTTGATCTTCTTGCAGTCCATGGGACTCTCAAGAGTCTCCTCCTGCACCAGAATTCAAAAGCAACCATTCTTCAGCAATCAGCCTTCCTTATGGTCCAGCTCTCGCTTCCATACATCACTACTGGGAAAACCAGAGCTTTTGTAAATACAGCATCCAGATTCTCTTCCTCTCCCCGCCACGGAGACTTTGCTTTCTTTCCTTCTGCGCAGAATTTTGAACCCGGGGCTGAGTTTTCCTGGCACGGACCGCACGCCAAGTTGTCCACAGGCCCTTTTAGGCTCTTACTACCCCGTGATGTTTTGAAGGATAATTCCTGCTCTGGGCATTGAAGTTGCATCCTCCCCCCGCACTGATTCCGCTTCTGACTTTGTGATTCTAAGGCAACAGAGCAGCTATGGGGGCTGGAGCCCCACAGAAAGCTTTGCCGTGACAGGTGGAGAGCCCCGGGGGGTCTGTGGGGAGCGGGAGAGGGGGGTTCCCAGAGGTGGCAGCCCTCCTTCGACTTGGTTGGCTTTGAAACGCAAGCAGTCTGGATGAATTAGCTGGGCTGACAGGCGAAGAAAAGTCTCTGGGTTTTCTGCTGCCCCCATTTCCTCCTCTCCCCCCTCCCCGGTGTCAGGAGTTAAGGTGGCCCATCATTTATTTGGTTTTCTAGCCAGTCCCCAAAGGCAGCGCTGCAACGGAGCGGTTGCATCAGAGCCAGCCTCTATAAAGCAAGCTTTAAACAAATAATAAATGTAATGGAGGGCTCTGACAAATAGTAAAAAAATCCCTTCTGCCAGGTTTCAGCTCGGCTGCTGAAAAGCAGCGCCCAGGCTGGGAGAAGTACACGGCGGTTCGGGACGGGGGTTTCATGGGTTGGCTTATAAAAAATGTGCACAGGACTTTATGAGCTCAGTCAGTAGAGCGTGAGACTCTCAGTCACAAGGTTGGGGGTTCGAGTCCCCTGCTGGGCAAAAATATTCTTGCATTTCAGGGGGTTGGGCTAGATGACCCACGGGGTCCCTTTTAACTCTATGATTTGATGATGATGGTGATGATGATAATAATAATTTTTATTTATACCCCGCCCTCCCCAGCCAAGATCGGGCTCAGGGCAGCTGACACCAGGTTCAACAACTGATTGAAATACAACTTAAAAACAAGATTAAAATACAACATTAAAATGCAGCCTCATTTCAGCAGAAACTCAAATCAAAAGCTTTTTTGGGGATGAAAACGTCGAGTCTTCGCCAAGGCCAACTATCCAGACTGGTCCTACATGGGCCAGAAAAAAGCCAGGGAAGTCCCCAAATAGGAGTTCCATCACAGAAGGAGAAAGGGAAAAGGAAAGAGGGGCAGGAGATCAAGTTGATTCCAAGCTAAAGGCCAGTCGGAACAACTCTATCTTGCAGGCCCTGCGGAAAGAAATCAGATCCTGCAGGGCCCTGATGATGAAATTTATTTATTTATACCCTGCCCATCTGGCTGGGTTTCCACAGCCACTCTGGGTGGCTTCCAACAGAGTATCAAAAACACGATAAAACATCAGACATTAAAAGCTTCCCTAAACAGGGCTGCCTTCAGATGTCTTCTAAAAGTCAGGTAGTTCTTTATTTCCTTGACATCTGATGGGAGGGCATTACACAGGGTGGGCGCCACCACTGAGAAGGCCCTCTGCCTGGTTCCCTGGTTCTATAGTTGCTCTGAGCAGAAAACAGTAAAGGAATAAAAACAATCAAAAGGCAAGTAGGAGGTGGCATGATGGAACTTTATAAAATGATGCTCATTGCAGAGAAAATGGGTAGGGGAAATGAAGTGAGGGACATGAGGCAGGAGTTGATAATGCAGGTGAGCTGCGCACAGGTGAGCTGCAAGCAAGCTGCCGGCCAGCTCTGTGGAGGCTCCTTTTATTGACACAAATATGCAAACCAGGCAGATACATTTTGGGCTGTGACCTTTAAACATCTTCCATCCCGAGATCGTGGGGTGGTACAAAGTTATTTTGGCACCTGTTTCCACTGCGTCATTTCCCCTTGCACAGTGTATGATGAAGGAGACAAAAGGTCTCAGAGACAAAGGTTACAGACAGGGCACCACAGACTACTGAGACCGCAAAAGGTTAGACAGAGGGGACGCTGTTCAGAAAGCCGTGGCTTTGTCTGGGGGGGGGTGCGCCCCGCACCCCAAGGTCACGCGTGCAGGCAGGCTATGGCTGCCTGCGGGTGGGGAGTGGGCTCCCTCCGGACCCCACTCCCTACTCCGCGATCATCCCTACAGGGAAAAAGTTTCTCTCGTGACACTAGACATCTGAGGAAGCCCAAAGTTAGCAGATTCAGGGCAGATCAAAGAAAAGAGTTCTTCACGCAGTGCATAGGCAGACTTTGGAACTCCCTGCCACAGGAGGCGGTGATGGCCACCAAGAAGGATGGCTTTAAAAGAGGATTGGACGAATTCATGGATGAGGAGAGGGCTACTGATGGCTACTGGTTAGCAGTGCTTCTGAATACTGTTTTCTAGATACCACAGTTGGGTTCTTGTGCTTGGATCCTGGTTGGCCACAGTGAGAAGAGGATGCTGGGCTGAAAGGGCCTGATCCTGCAGGGTTCTCCTTATGTCATTGGCTCCCAGTACGTTTCCGAGCACAATTCAAAGTGTGTTTTTTAAAAATGATATTTATTAAAATTTCAGAAAAAAGAATTACATAAAAACAAGAAATACAAAAATAAAAGACAAAAGTAAAAATACAAGAAAAATACAAAATACAAAATACAGAATAAAAGAATAAAAACACTTAAAAAGGAAAAAAAAAATAGATCAATCTTTCCATGCCTTACATTCATATCCTTGCTTCCCTGACCTCCTCATACCTCCCTTTTTTGTATTCCAATTCAATTAGTTAATTCAGCAATTTCTTTCCCTCTTTATTTTCTCTTAATCCTTTAACTTAATATAGTATAACTTTAAATTTTCACCTGTTATCAATCCATTTTTACATACACCTTTATAGCATTACTGCTTAAACCACTTAACTTCATTCTAACATCATTCTAACATTCATTAATTTTACAATATTTCTGTAGATAGTCTTTAAATTTCTTCCAATCTTCTTTCACCAACTCTTCTCCCTGGTCTCGGATTCTGCCAGTCATTTCTGCCAATTCCATGTAGTCCATCACCTTCATCTGCCATTCTTCCAGAGTGGGTAGGTCTTGTGTCTTCCAATACTTTGCAATAAGTATTCTTGCTGCTGTTGTGGCATACATAAAGAAAGTTCTATCCTTCTTTAGCACCAATTGGCCGACTATGCCCAGGAGAAAGGCCTCTGGTTTCTTCAAGAAGGTATACTTAAATACCTTTTTTAATTCATTATATATCATTTCCCAGAAAGCCTTAATCCTTGGGCACGTCCACCAAAGGTGAAAGAATGTACCTTCAGTTTCTTTACATTTCCAACATTTATTATCGGGCAAATGATAGATTTCACAATTCAAAGTGTTGGTGCTGACCTTTCAAGCCCTAAATGACCTCGGTCCTGTATACCTGAAGGAGCGTCTCCACCTCCATCGTTTTGCCCGGACACTGAGGTCCAGCTCCGAGGGCCTTCTGGCGGTTCCCTCACTGCGTTAAGCCAAGTTACAGGGAACCAGGCAGAGGGCCTTCTCAGTAGTTGCGCCCGCCCTGTGGAACCCCCTCCCACCAGATGTCAAAGAGAACAACAACTACCAGACTTTTAGAAGACATCTGAAGGCAGCCCTCTTTAGGGAAGCTTTTAATGTTTCATGTATTACAGTATTTTAATATTTTTTGGGAAGCCGCCCAGAGTGGCTGGGGAAGCCCAGCCAGATGGGCGGGGTATAAATAATAAATTATTATTATTATTATTATTAAGCATTTAATCCTGCATCTCCATCCCCGCTCCTGCAGAGATATAAGCAGCAGAACCCAAATCAATACGACTGGAGGCCGAAGCGACTGAGAACCCCCTGGAGCCTTAAACAGCCGCAGATTTATTGCAGCAGAGATGTTTGGTGACTAAAACCTGCCTCTCTTGATGAAGTGTGACTGAGAAAAATGGCCTCGCTTCTGTCGCACGCAGCTGGAAAGGGGCCAAAAGACCCTTGCTTGCCTTTACTGCAATGGCATCATCGCAGCGTTGCTACCCTCTCTGGGTGATGCTGAAAAGAATCAGGATTGCATCCAACACAGCGCTAAAGAAATGCGTGCGTCCCATCAGCGCAAAATATTTCTACTTGTGCAATGGGGGTTCCCCCACTTCCTCACCTTGCAAACCCCTACCCCAAATGTGTTCTGGGGTTCCTCTGGAGAGGGAGAAGGAGAATCCCTGATGTGCAAGAAGAAATCCTTGCATTGGTCGGATCCTGCCCCAGGATTGGAATCCTAATCTTAAGACACCTGGCAGCAAGCTCCATTCAACTCCACAGGGCCTACTCTGAGTAAAGGCTCAGCCACACTGTTGCTTGCCTTGCTGCAAATTCAGGGAGGCTGAATTCTACAGTCGGGGAAAGCAGCGCTTCTGAATCACAGTTGCTGGAAACCGCAGGAAGGGCTCTTGTGGTCAAATCCTGCTTGCTGGGTTGGCAAGCCTGTTGGCCACTGGGAGAAGAAGGCACTGCACTGCAGGCGGGTTGGGCTAAATGACCTTTGGGTTCCCTTTCAGCTCCAAAATTTCTGGGGAAGGCCGGCTGGCTACAAATGGATGGATTCCTTCTTCAAACCAAACTCCAGTTTCTAGAAAGTGTTAACGGAGAAATCTGAGGGCTCCCTTGGACAAAAAACCAAGACACCAGCCAGGAATACCAGAGCAAAACAGCGGCCAGTAGGCTTGGTCTTGATTGAAGACTGTCACAGCAGGACTCCCACCTGCCACCACGTGGAACAAGATGGAAGCCCCGAACAAAAGAGCCCCCAAACTTTTATTAGCTGCTAATCCCCATGTTACACCCCCCCCAAACTACATCATGGTTACATCATGAAAGGGGAGGTCTGGTGGCAGGAATCTGAGCATCCTGGACCCTGCCCCATGGTTCTCCTTGCCCTCCACCAAACACCCATCAAGTGTAACAAAAGAGACATTTACATTTCCCTGTTTCCCACCAAGTTAATAACACCCTTTGGTCTTCATCTGGGTTTGTTCTTTCTGGAATGGCTACCTGTCTGGCACTCAGGTATCAGGAGGCCAGGGATTATCACTCAGGCAGAGGGGCTGCAGAGTAGCTGAGCTCACATGTCTATATGAATTTCTGAAGTTTTCCCAGTGAGCCAGTACACAGATACATTTATCAGTGAATTCTTACATTTGGTATCGTGCAGCAGAGGCCCTTTGAATAGACAGGAAGAAACGGTGATGAAGTGTTTGTGGGGGCAAATCACAAAAGTGATTCTGCTGGTTTTGGTAGTGGGCTGCACGTGCATGATATCTGCTGGAGGGGCAACCCCCCCCCAACCTATACATAAATTCCTGCAACAAAAGAAAGAGGACAAACCCTGCCACAATCACGTCTCTCCAAAGTGCCTAGCCTGGTCTAGATTCTCTTATCTCCTCCTCCTCCACCCTCGGATCTTGCCATCATCAGACCGAGCCCTCGCTTTCCCCGACACCTGTCATTTAAATTCAGGTCACTGAGTGGCTTGTGGTGGCAATCTGCAGCTGGTTGGCAATGCCCTGTCTGCCCTGCAAGCTTTTGACCTACTTTCAGGGGAGAAAAAGACCCCGGAGGCAGAGAATTCCCACTACCCAGATGCATTTGTATAGAATCACGGAAGGGACCCCGAGGGTCATCTAGTCCAACCCCCTGCAATGCAGGAATTACAGATGAAAAATCATTGTATTTGGCAGCTGGAATATAAATCCGAAGGACCAAGGAAGACAATAAACTATACTGGGCTTGCCAGCTCAGGTTCAAATTTGGAGTCCAGTGGCTTTGCTGAACCTGCGACCTTAGAGGAACTTAGA